AGCGGCCACTGCACTCCAGTCTGGGCGACAGAGTAAGACTCCAACTCAAAAAAAAAAATATGGAGTTGTTCCTTTGGCCACATACATGCAAATCTACAAGAAAGGTGATATTGTAGAGATAAAGGGAATGAACACGTTCAGAAGGGAATGCCCCACAAATGTTATCACGGCAAGACAGGAACAGGCTACAATGTCACCCAGCATACTGTTAGCATTGTTGTTAACAAATAAGGGCAAGATTCTTGCCAAGAGAATTAATGTGCATGTTGAGCAAATTAAACACTCAAAGAGTTGAGATAGCTTCCTGAAATGCGTAAAGGAAAATGACCAGAAAAAAAAGAAAGTCAAGGAGAAAGGCACCCGGGTTCAGCTGAAGTGCCAGCTTGCCCCACCCAAAGATGCACACTGTGTGAGAACCAATGGAAAGGAGCTCAAGCTACTGGAACCTATTCCCTGTGAATTCATGGCTTAATAGGTGTCAAAAATAAAAGATCTCTGGGCCATAAAAAAAAAAAATCAAACCAAACCAACCAACCAACCAAACAAAATCCACCGAAAGCCTTTAGGTAACACTTGGAAGAAATAACAAAGCAAAATAATAATTGTTTTAGTAATGAACTTCCAAAATGAGACAGTGGCAAGTTATTTCCTATGATGACAAAAGTGATCTTTATGTCATCATTACTCCTTTCTTCCCTCTCAGAATGAGAGTAGAGGGGGGCTGAAAATACCTCAAGACCAAGGAAGAGGCAAGCAGGAGTGGCAGTGCTGCTTAATACCTCAGGAAAAAAAGAAAAGAAAAGGCTGGTCCCCTGAGGAAACTAGACTAGGTCTTATTATTATTATTATTATTATTTGAGTTGGAGTCTCATTCCATCGCCCAGGCTGGAGTGCAGTGGCACACTCACGGCCACCGCAGCCTGGACCTACTGGGCTCGGGTCATCCTTCCTTCTCAGTCTTCCAAGTAGCTGGAATTACAGGCGTGTGCTACCACTCCTGGCTTATTTTTTTGACTTACTGTAGAGATGAGGTCTCATCAAGTCACCCAGGTTGGTCTTGAATCCCTGAGCTCAGGCAATCCTTTTACCTCGGCCTCCCAAAATGCTGAGATTACAGGCTTGAGCCACTGCACCTGGCCATCTAGGTCTTTTTAAGAGGCAAACATTGCCTTCAAAGAAGATAAGGCAGCAAGAGAAAAATCCACCATATGTGAGCATGAAAACCAAGGCTGATGGCAAAGGGGAGTATCAAGAGAACAGAGGCAGTATCAAATGAACAAGTGGCAGAGTAATAACACTTAATATCTGCCTATAATTAAGGTCTTCTTAATTCAGCATATTATTTCATTCGAGCCTGACAACCTTTGAGGTAAATGAGTAAGATATGATTTAACTCAATTTCACAAAAGAGCAAGCTCAAATAGGTTAATCAGAAGGTTAAGTGATTTCTCCGAAGTTCATAAAGAAAATAAATGGGCCTGGCTCGGTGGCTCAGCCTGTAATCCCAGTGCTTTGGGAGGCCGAGTTGAGAGGACTGCCTGAGCCTGCAGGTTTGAGATCAGCCTGGGCAATTTGGTGAGACCTCATCTCTACAATAAATCAAAAATTAGCCAGGCATGGTAGTGTGGGCCTGTAGTTCTGGCTACTTGAAGGCTGAGGTGGAAGGATCACTGGAGCCAAGCAGGTCAATGCTGGGGTGGCCATGAGCATGCCACTGTACCCCAGGCTGGGTGACAGAGTGAGACTCCAACTCAAAAAAAAAAAAGAAAAAGAAAATAAATTAGTCAATTACTTTTTTCATTCTGAATAAATGTTATGTGAATGTAATACCAATTGCTCTAAGTATAACAAGAATGCAGTATAACCTCCCCGCTTGGGAAGAGAACATTTTTTTTATATTGGAAAATTAGTTTATTTAGAAAGTAAATTGGAGGGAGAGAGAGGAGATTCACCTCTCCAAGGTAGGGGAGGGGCCAAAGTTAGGAAAACATGGCCTGATCATAGTTCAAAGAGCCATGTGGACACACCAGAGCTTAGCAAAGCAATGACTTGAGAAGAGAATATTTACATACAATCAACATTTAAATTGACTCAAAAATCTGAAAATTCTGAAGTTTCCTATAATTGAATTTACTTTCCCAAAATCTTACCCCAGTGGTTCTCAACCTCTGCCAAGCATTTGCATTGTCCAAGGGAGAGAAGGGAAGGAAAAAAAGTTGGCACTGCCTGAACGCTACTACTGAATATTCTGATTCAATGGTGTTTGGGGAAAGACCCAAACCTGTATTTCATTAAGTATGACAGGTGGTTCTACTGCACCCTAAAGGCTGAAGAGCACTGCCTAAACCTGACAAAGAGAGCTACCACAGGAGGACTGAGGCCCAAGGAATGCCTGTGACTAAGGGAAGCCAACCAAAGCACTCCACAGCCTCTCTGGAAAGAGCCTTCATGCCCAAAGAGAGATGGTGATGTGGCCTCCCTAGTCCAGGCTCAGGCCTTATGGGATACCTGGCTCTCGGGACTGGCTATCATCGCAAATGTGCAGGTCCAAGCGGGAGATGAGCAGATGGTAGGAGGACTCTTTCACATCATATTTCTCAAAGTACTGGCTGAGACGGCTGCTGCTGCTGTTGCTGTTACCCTGGCTACCACCAAATGCCTGAGCCCAGGTCTGCTGGGCACTGGGAGCAGGTGGAGTGATCTACATGTGACAGAGAGAAAAACAAGAAGTTCAGACCCTGAGAGGATCATCGCATGCTTTCTCTATGCATTAGTGCAGCATGAATAAAACCACAGTTTAGCAAGATGTCCCTTCTCTCTCATAAATGTTTGCTTGGTAGCTCACGTAGGTCTGTCCCAACTAAATAACCCAAACTCCAAAAAGCCTAGTTACAACCAGACTAGTAACTGTCAAAGTATTGTTCTCAGGTTTGAAATCTCTACGTTCTTACCCACCAGGACTTAGCTGAGTGATGCTAAAACACCTCCTCTAAGAAGTCCTCCCGAAGTGCTCTCTTTCAGCCTAGATCATTAGATGCCTCTTCTTTGTGCTCTCATGCTTTCTACCACAGCATTTATCACACCATATAGTTTATGGCCCAACTTGTTTATGGCCCATCTTTCAAGAAAGGACCAGGAACAAGAGGCTTATTTCCCTTTTCCCCTCCAGTAGCTAGCACTGTATACCTAACACACTAGAGAAACCCAATGAACAGAATAAATAAAAAATCAGAGGTTCAGGCAAAGCCTGTGAACATCCAGAAGTCAATGACAAATCCTCCCAAGAAAGTTTAGATTTTACCTCTGTTGGAATGAGTTCGGTCTGACCTACTGTCTCTCCGGCCCCGCCAAAGGCATCTGTTGTATCCCTAACCTGTACAGGCTCAGGGGCCAGGCTCTTTCTCTGTTGGGCTGACTTCTCCACAGCTTCACTCAGCGACTCTGCATACTTCATCATAGCCTTGAGTTGCGAGTCAGTCAGCACCCAGAGCAGGTCATCCAACAGGAACATCAACTTGGACGCTATCACATTGCAATCTTTGGTCTGAGGGGGCCACAGAGAACATGCGGTTTATCATTTTGCATTATTCAAGCTCCTCAAAGTGACTGTTGCCTAGTCAGTTTCAGAGGTGGCTTTTCAATCTCCAATATGTGAAAAGACAGTATCAAGCACTTTGGAGAGCCAATTTCTTACAAAACTAATAGAGTTTGCTGAATTAACAAAAAGCAGTAATATTCAACTGTGAGGTGCCTATGTCAAGCTCTTTATCTGGGTAAAAACTGTGGTTTCCAAAACAAATAAAACAGGGAGGTGGAAACATTCTCTCACGAGTGAATATTGGGCAACACTGAACTGCAGGCCCACCACCTTTAACGGGCATTCCAGGGCTAATAACAATCCAAACAATGAGGGAATACCAACTGCTAGGTTGTCTGGGAGAATAAAAGATGGATGCTTTCATGAAGAAAAAGAACATACTTACTTTTCTTTTGAGTGCTATTTGGATCCTGCCTTGGTTGGTAATAAGCCTCAGTGGAGTGGTGACTGGGTCCTGGTCACCATTGTCTGTAGCATCTGCCTCAATTCGAAGTGTCTGCCAAGTTATTTCCTTAAATGTTAGAACCTAGAAGGAAAGAAAGTAGACTCTTTTAATTCTGTGAATGAAATTAACTAAGAGACAGGAAGTCCAAGGGAAAAAGACTGGCCAAGCAGAGACTCCCACCATTCTCAACTGGGATCCTAACAACAGAGAGCAGGGAATCAGACTCTATTATTGAGGAAAGGATGTAGCATTAACACTGGACAGAAAGCCTTCTGGAGTTCCCTGAAATAGGGAGTATTCAAGGAAATCCTCAAAGCAGGAATAAGATCCTCTAAGAATTGAGTTCTATTCTGAATTCCCCCATTCTCTGCCCTCACAATGATAGGACTGTCACCTCTCCTCGGCGGGGGTCAGTGATGCGGGTGAGGCGAAGGTCACTCTGCTGCCAGCTGGGGTTCACACTATAGCCTTGGAGCTGCCACAATTCAAAAGAAGCATGGAAGGCTTTGGAGTGAATCTTGATAGTGATGGAATTGACAATGATGAACATCCCCTCCACCACCTTTTCAGCAAAGCCATATTCACTACAACAAATCAGGTAGACCAATGATTAGAATTATGTGAGTTTTTTTATACAGTCTTTACACTAAAAGACATCAGTTTAAGTTATTGGGTGGTAGAACTGTTGGGAAAAAGTTGACCTTGAAACAATCTCCCTCCTGTTAAAAGGAATAAATGGAAAAATCTTTTTATAGCCACAAACTACCTGTATAAATATCTAGGCCAGGCGCAGTGGCTCACACCTATAATCCCAGCACTTTGGGAGGCTGAGGTGAGAGGACTACCTGAGCCCACAGGTTCGAGACCAGCCTGGGAAACTTGGCGAGACCTCATCTTTACAATA